AAAATATCATTTTACCTGCTTAAAAGTTCAACACCCACAGCCCAATCACATCTGTGTTATCTTTCTGCTCTGACATCCCATGGCCTGTGACTTCAATTTTGCAGACTGTGGTGTGTTTTCCCTATCTCGAGGGAGTAATAGAGCTAGGTGTGACTGAGCTGGTAATTTCCTATCTTGAAAATAGATCAATTACTTTCTAATTCAGAATATATGTATAAACCATAAATGTCATGGAACGGTATATGAAGGCCTTACTTGTGCTCTTGCTTCTCCTTTTGACTTATTTCAAGGTCACAGAAGACCCCGGTCTCATTCAGCATATCAAAGCCTCCTTATTAGACTTCTCAAAGCCTGTTTGCTCTGAGAAATCGTTCTCTGCTGCTCATAACAAGGATGATGATAAAGACCCAATGTCTACCAGGATCAGCCATGAGATAGTTGATACATTGGCTGTGGAGAATCCGTACACCCCAACAAAAGATATAGAATCTGAGCAGGAGGGAATTAACTACTTACATGGAAATGTGTGTGAAGAATTCAACAGGAACTCTCCTGATGATTTCTCAAATGGCTATGAGCACAATCTGGTGACTGAAGACTCCTTCATGCTTGAAGATTTAAAGGAAGGAGCATCTCAAGTTCAAAGCTGGCATTCCATGGATGATGAATTCAGCGATGATGTTAGAGATTCTATGAATTCAAGTGAATGCATATCAGAGGTTTTTGTGAAGCAAGGAAAGGTTCTACCCTCTTCCAAGGGCAAAAGCATATCCCACCTGCAATTGACAGTACTTCAAGAAGGAAACCACACAAAATTGAGCTCCTTAGATCCTGGAGCTGATGATGACTTGCACTACAGAAGAACTGCATTTGTTATTCTGAAAAGCTCAAGTCAGTTGATCGAAAATCCATGTTTCCAAAGTGGTGATTACAAATCTAGTTTTTTTGGTTGGAAGAAAGGAGCAGCTGATGACTATAAACCACGAATACAACAGAAGATGTTGAAAAAGATTTTATTTGTCGCACCTTTGATGCATGGTGGTCACTCTATTAGGTCTGACAAGGAAAATGCAGGAAAATATTGTCTCAAGAATTTGGAAGGCTGTGAAACATGCAAGTTGCATTTTGAATCAGAAAAACAAAAAGAGAATGAAAAATATCTAGCACTCGAGTCAATAGTTGCTTCTATTAATGAGGTAATTACATTGCCTTTGTTGGAAATCATGTTATTATGGAGATTTTGATAGTAACCGGAGATTTCATAATTCTTCAGACTTGTCTTACCTTGAAAAATGTTAATACATTTTTGGAGAAGTGGAAAACAGCCGTCAACCTCTAACTAGATGCATGCTTTACTGGTTTTTTACTAGTTTTTGTAAACAGCCTTCAAAGAATTTACCTCTACCTTTTCTCCTTAACAAATTTTCTGCTAAATTTTGTAAACTGGCTCTGAGATGATATTATTTCTGAGAAGTTCATTATTCTGATCCTTGAATTTCCAAGTCGTCAACCTTAACTAGATGTATGCTCTACTGGTTTTTTACTAGTTTTTGTAAATAGCCTTCAAAGCATTTACCTCTATCTTTCCCTTCAACAAATTTTCTGCTAAATTTTTTAAATTGGCTCTGAGATAATATTATTTCTGAGAAGTTCATTTTCATTATTCTGATCCTTGAATTTCTAATGATGCTGTACATTAAAAAACTTGATCATGCTTGTACAGATTGACAAAGCATCAATCCTCAGCGACACCACTAATTACCCGAGACAGCTTGAGTCAAAAGTAGCAGAACTGGAATCTTGCACAGGCTCGACGGATTATGAGGCAAGATCCAGGAGTTACATGGGCATGGTAGACCGGATATCAGATAACCACGGCATCAAGAAGCCTTGGATAAACAAGAGGAAAGCCCGTGACATTGATGAAGCTGAACTAGAGCTTGATGAGTTTACTCCCAAGAATGGCATGCCCGTAGATTTGAGAGTATGCATGAAAGAGAAGGAGATTCTCATCGAGATGAGATGTCATTACAGGGAGTACATGCTGCTCGATATCTTGGATGAAGCCAACAAACGGCAGTTGGATGTGCTTTCGGTTCATTCATCCACTCTTGATGGCATTTTCACGTTGACCCTGAAATGTAAGGTTTGTGCTGAAGATCAACCCTGTTGCTGCCTTTTCTACATATCTTTTGTTTTTCAGATGCATTAGAAATCCGAAGGTAAGAAATTAGATGTGCAATGACTTCTGATGAGACTAAATATGATGTCTAATATATATTAAAAGCTGAATTTATATTATTACCTTTATAAGAATTATATAGCCTTTAGAAGAAGTCATTGTCATTGAAGTTGTTTCCAGATACATGCACTAATGCCCTTTTTTTGTCGGCAAAATGCTCGATATATACACTAATGCCCTTTTTTCGTCGGCAAAATGCTCAATTCTTGTAACCTTGGTTTCAGTTTAGAGGGGCGGCGCCAGTTTCACCAGAAGGGATGATCAAACAAGCACTTTGGAAAACTGTCGGCAAGACTTGAGTCGTCATTTATCAACTTATCAACTGGCACTTTGAAAGATTTCTCCATTCAGTAGAAATTAGTTCTTGGATTCTCATGTAACATGCAGCAGTAACTGCATGAACTCGTAATTGCATATCTTCAATGTCCTTCTTAACCTTTTCTCCATTATCAAATGTTCAACTGCAGTGCTAGCCAATTAGCTCAACTAGTGACTTGATAGGAGTGATGAGGAATATATCTACCATTTTGAATCTCTTTTCAATCAAGTGCTGTTTTGAAAGATACTTTCTCTTTGTGCGCTGCTGCTTGTTTCTTCAGGTCCATCACAAGTCGTAAAGAATTTGAAAAGCCTGCCAAATCCGAGTGATTCTTACCCCAAATCACACTCAAAGAAATCTCGTTGCAACAAAATTTTCAATGTCAACGGAAATCTTAGTATCAAAGAACTATCCATCCGAGTGACGAGGAATATATTATTTTTTAATATATATTTTTAAGTTTAGTTTTTAACTTAATAATTTAAATTGTCATGTAAGGTTATAAAATATAATTTATATTATTTTAAATATATTTTTTAAAAAATAAAATTTTTTTAGACTTGAAACTTACATGTTAATATTATTTTATATTTAATTTTTATTAAATAAATAGAGGTGGTAGGATTCGAATTCATGATCACTTAATCATCAAGATTTTGATACTATATTAAAGAACCATTTTAACTAAATAACTTAAATTATTAAATAAAATTTTAGAATATAATTTATATTATTCTCTACACTTGATTTAAAATGTATTAGTGTTATACATAAAACCTTTGACTAATGCTATAATTAGAATTCTTAAGTAAGCTAAAACTGAATACATCTTAGATATACTATAAAACAGGATGTAATTAACCTATAAAAGATCCATAAACTGTAACAATATGCCTGTATTAAAATATGATGCAATGTACACTCTCATGCTTGGAGAGGAAGGTCATGATTTCAAGGGTGAAGAAAAGCATATTCCGCCACTCATTTATAGAAAAATCAGAGTGGGGTTTGGGTTTAGAATGACTAATTGCATTGTCTTTTCTGACACTAATCTGTAGATGTCATAAAGAAACATTATGATGTTGTTTTCATGGAATTTAAGGCAATCCTGCAATTTATTTCTCAACTAATTGACTTTGAAGGCATAAGTTGGATATCCTGATGACCTGGCAAGAACAAATCCATTAAAACAAAGAAAAAATTCTAGATTCTTTTGGAGTTGGCTATTATTATATCTCCATTTATTCACAGGCACATAAATACAAGAATTATATAATACACAAACACATAATTTGGAAGTTGAAACTCCAACTGTACAACCTCAGGTCAATGCTCTCAAACCCGACTAATCCTTGTTTTGTTTTCTTCTTCCCCTTTAACTCGAAATCCTTCAAGACAAACCATTCATTAACTTAGAGCTTAAGAGTTAAGAAATGCGATTTCTAGAGATTTCTGACATAAACCACGAACTTTAATAGCTTAACTTTTTAAAGAATGAAGATTACAAACAATATGACCAAATACACGGGGAAAATTTGAAATTGGATTTTCCAGCCATGACTTTCAGAGAGTAATACGAGCAAAATGCTTAACAGTGCAGCCAACCTTCTCAAACTTCCCTCTCTCGCTGCTCTCTATAAACTCCAAATAATCCGAACAAACAAATGGCTCATAGATCCTCACGTTTCCTTCTCCTACTACTTCACTTGGTGCCAAGATTACCTTCTCATCCTCAAAACACCAAGAAAAGGCTAGATAAAGACGGTTACCTGGTTTCTTCAAAAATGATTCGGTGTTCTGATGATCTTAATTTGTTGTTGCTCCAAGCTGGCAATATATTTCCTATGTATGTACATGTTTACCACCAAAGTTTGCTCACATGGACTTGTATCCATCAATTTCCCTTCCTTTAGATTTCACCTGCAGTCCACCAACTTCATCTTGGTATACAATGGTCACACAGCTCATGTATGCATTCCAAGTCCCTCAACCTCGTCTATCAAACTTTCGGAGGTGTGTGGTTTACAATCCTCAGATAACCATGGCAATTCCTGAATTCTGATTCACATCACTTCTTGTCAAAACCCTCTCCCAGGCCAAATTTAGTGACTTTAGTTAGTGTAATCGGTACTTCATGTTTATTTAGCTGTAAAAAAAATTAAGGTTATCTCTTGGTTTTGTGATTCAATGTGGTTTCGAGCTTGAAGTTCAGGTCTTGACTGTTTTACTTGGGTTATATTTAGCTTCTGATGGCGTTGCTCTTACATTATATGATCAAGTAGAACATAAAGATGATGCTGTGTTGTGGAGTGCGATGGCTTCGATTTTTGTTAAGAATGGGAAGTATAGGGAAGTTATTGATTGCTTCAGGAGAAATGCTGAGTTACAGTGTGGGGGCTAAGGATGTTAGTGCTTTAGTCCTGTCCTTTGCCCGCTTGAACTGATCTCGGTGAGTTGTGATTAGGGAGAGAGATTAATAGGCTGCTGATAAAGAGTGTTTTGCATCCTATGATTGTCTACACGTTATTTCCAATTCATCAATCTCACACCCTATGCATCAAATGGTTCATAATTGTCAAGGGACGACAGTTAAGTGGCTGTTTTTTATATACCCTGGTTGTTTAATTCATGGTGCCAGTCTTCTCGTAGAGCAAAACTTAAAAATCTACTTGTTACCTATCACACAAAATATAAATTTGGTTAAGTTGGAGAGCAGGCAATCGAACTTTGAAGTTAATTAAACCGTATGCTGGGTAAGAAGACCTCTGGAAGTTCAATGTTAGACCGCAGATGTAAAGTTTGAACCGTGATAGGCTATAGTTTCACTCTGCTCCCAAGCTACAAAGTACTGCTCATCATAACAGCCATCGTATAGAAATCTTTGTAACTCAAAATTTCATTGCTTCGAGGCCCATTGATTCTGAGATTCATTTAAAACAGCTTTGGTTACTTATTTACATTGAATTCCTTCTTCGTGAACTACGTAACTTAATTAATTTAATGCATATGTTGCATTAAAAGAGCTTTGAAACTGCCACTGTTACTAATTCTTGCACCAAATGCAGCAGCAGGAGCATCTTCTTATGAAAGCACACGGTGGTTTCTCTCTATTGGACAAGTACATACAGATGCAATCCCACACCAACACTCACAAAGGGAGTACCAATACACAGATGAAAAGAGGAATCCTTGAAGTACTTCTTGTTCATGCTAAAGGCATGAAACACACAAATCTCATCGGTAACTCTCTCTCTCCGGGCTATATATAGACCACATAAAGTGTGATGTTTACTAGTGGTTCTGTATGCCGCCGCACCCGCTAAAGTTTTTTGTATATGCCTTCTTTCATTTTGACCTGATTTGAGCCCATTAAGATTTCAGTTTCGCCTTGGTTACAGGTCCACCAATCTATCATGTCATCATACAATGTGGATCTCTCGTGCACAAAAGCAAAGCATCATCAGGTTCACACCCTGCCTTTCAATTTACTAGGTTGATAGCTTGAGCTCCTACGGCTAGTTTGTTCAAGTACCTCAGTAACTCAGTTTCATGACTCAGGCAAAGATGAAAAAACATGGTGGAATGAGAAATTCAGTTTTGACTTCCCATTAACTGATTGGAAACAGTTGACCCATCTAAAATTCAGAATCATGGACCAGGAATTCTTCACTGATGGTGGATTTGTCGGTGAAACCATGTAACGTCTAGAAGTCATTCTCGCCCTTATTTTTTTCTAGAAGCTTAATATTGCATGATTTTTTGTTTTTCTTTTTGTTTTATCTAAAAAATTTCACGCTCCTTGCCCTTTAGGGGATCATTCTGAGGAATGATAGATAAGATTTGTCGCGGAAATTATGCCAGGGTGGTTTTATAGCCCCCAAAAGTAATGGCAACGAGGAATTTCATCAAATAATATTTTCTCGTGGGTGTAGTGATATTACAGAGACTTGTCTCAATCCACTGACCAGTTTGTCTTCTTATGATTTTATTTTGATGTTGTTTTTAATTTACGTGTTATCTGTGATTTAGAATTTACCTTGGAGGAATAATAGATGAGGGGATTAACAGAGGAATTCTAGAAATGATGCCAGCTCCATATAATGTGTTGCTTGAAGATGACACCTACAAAGGAGAGATAAAGATTGGACTCAAATTCGTTGCCAACGTAAGCAAACATTGTTATTTGACATCCTTTAGTTTCTATTGTAGGCATTAGTCGATTATATCACTGAAATTACTTAAAATCACCGTTTTTTGCAGACAGAAGTGCTCCCAGAGAGGACATTCCTTGCACAGGTGAATGAACCAAGACAACTGATATGCCGATCCATTATAAATCTCTGGAAATTCTCATGGTGGAAGTTGTGGCTTTATCATAGTCAGAGGAGTACTAAAAATAAGACAGGGGAGGAATAAGATGGATCATAATCCTGAATTGTCGTCCTAGGAATAACTTGGTTGCGAAACGAGTAAGATGAATTGAAACTGTGGGATTTGGATCATATTTCGGTTATCAATTTGGGAAATGTTTCCCTGCTTGAAATTCATTTCGAAAATTATCAGATTCTGTTCCTCATTGTAGCTGCCATATATTGATTCATAAGCGAGCAACGTCAGGTTTCAGGGTTCTCTCTTCTTCTTGTTTTTTGCTTAGGAACCCTTTCTTCTATTTTTTTTTTCCTGGTAATTTTGTATGGACAGGTAGGCTACTTGTCTTGCATCTTAAAAGTAAGTTCGTGCGTTTGCTTAATAAAGAAATATTTGACCTGATAATATTGTGATTATATTTATTTGCAATCCCCATGACACATTCATGGGCCAAATTAAAAGAACATGCAACACATTTGCGAAATGGTATGCACGTCTGTCTCGGGAGTGAAGACCCATCCAAGGATTTCTGTGTTTCGTCTAAATAATTTTTTGAGGAAATGGGTTTCATTACAGATTGGCATGAGTTTTCATTTGGACTGATAGGGAGAGTTCTTCAGTTATTTACGAAGGCTAATGTATTCCACATGTCTTATAAGCTAACCCCCGACCAAGCTAACAACTATTCTAACGTATCCAACCAAGAGTTGCATGTTCTTCTTCTTCTTCTATGTTTTTTTTTTTTTAATTTTAAGAAATAAAGTTCAGTTATTTGTGTACTAATAATTCCCAGGTTTTAAATTGGCTATTGAATTGATGATGAAAGTGCTGTCAAGTTTCATTTCCAATTTGACTTTCTGGTCCTACCACCATGGAGAAACAAAGAGAGATTCTCGAGTGTGAGGATGAAGCATGTTGTAGGATTAAACGTTCATCAACCAAAAGAAATATAGAATTTAGGTTTCGGATATTATAAGCTTTCAAATTTTTATGTAGCCAAAATTGGTGGTGGGGAAATATTAAACATCGATTTTAGGTGATGGAAACTCTGCCAGCATCTCATGGCTTCTAGCTTCTAGCTCACATGCAGATTTATAATCCCTGCCACCCAAAATGATGAAAGAACAAGCTGTCCTTTCTTCTTCTTCCCTTCCCTTCTCCTTTTCTTTTCTTTTTTAATTAAATGAACGAATTGTCTTGCATGGTCATATGATTTTTTCTTCCCTCACTCTTTACATTTGTTAAATGTTTTATATTGACAAAATTAAGAAAAAAAATGCCGGAACATGATGGTACAAAACTAAACAAAATAAAAATCATTTTTCAAATAAAAAAAAAAACGTTGAGTTGTTCTAGGCCTAGACAGCCCTGCTGCTAGCCCCCTTAACTACCAAAATGATTGGTAGAGAGGCCTGGCCGCCCATTTAGGCTACTAGGCCAAGTGGCCGCCCACCAACCCATTCTTCTTTTCCTCTCTCTGTCTTTTTCTCTCACTTCTTTCCTCGGCACTGGTAATTTCATGTGTAGCGTACATAATTCTTCTATCTCGCACGTATAAAATTATTGTGGGATAAACGTTGTATTCTATTATCGATAGCTCTCTTTTTGCTACGCCTTCCAGACATCTATGCCAACAAAAATAAATATATCAGGTCACGCTATCACAGTAACTTCTTCTCCAGTCACTTCCAAGAACTCATGGCAACTCACACGGACAGCTGAGCCACCTTGGCTGGCCAATGATGTGATTTTCTTTTCTATAAAGAAATTTCATGAATTAATGCTCCAGTTTCACTAAGCAGGGGGCAATTTTTTCTAACACCACACCCAAATTCACTCATAATGATATTTTCACTTCTCTTTTCTGTACTTTATCTTTTCCTACACACACCCACTAACTTAAATATTAAAGAGCTCGTCATTCATCAAAGAATTTATTTAAAAAAAAAAACAACTTAGACGCATAGCTCAACTAAGAAAAGTCTATTTATGTGTTAAAGTTTTTCTTTAATTTCATTAGTGGTGTTGTTTGTGGAAAACCTGAATAAAAATTCAGTTCATTTTCTTTCACCTTTCACCAACAACTTTTTCTATAGGTAAAAAGACTCCAGTACAAGGAATAGTGATTGATTTCCTCATCAAAGGGACTTCAACTCCCGTTTCTAACATCTCTTCCATTAAATATATATGTTCAATCATATTGTTGCAACAATATAAATATATCTGTGTACTTTTTTTTTCTACACAACATTATAATGCTTTTGTTTTTTTTATATATATAATAGATATTAACTTAAGCATAAGAGAGTCACTCACTCAAAAAAAAAAAAAACTTATTTTTATAGGAATAACTCATGCTCAAACTCAGCCAAGAAAAATTCATTTATGTGTGAAGTTTTTACCAGACTTCATCATATTATAATCCAATGGTATACTGTGGAGGCCCCTCTTTCAAAAAAGAAAAGAAAAAAACTATTTCCCATTTCCATCGAGATAAACAAAAGGAAAGAGTTTAAAATTTCGTTTGGCAATGAACTACGAATTGTTTTTTTTTTTTTAGTCTAGGAGGAGTTTGGTTGGCATACTTTTTTTTTTGTTTTTATTTACATGGGGTGTTCTGACCGGCTTGCGCGAACATGTAGTTTAATGGAATTCTTATAAAAGGAAATGCTATATGCTTTGATTGCCCCCCAAATGGTCTTAATTGCATTCTAAAAAGGGGTCTTCATTGACGAATTATGTCCATAATAACAAGCATTATAATGTGAATCAAATCATAATTCATCGTGGCATTTCCTCCATCTCAAGATGGAGGACTCCCCATTAAAATAACCCAAAATTATTCGTTGAGATTCTCTTATTATTCATTTTGTATTCAGCAGCCCTATTATTACACACCGCAAACCCATAAATATTCATGTCCAACTAAGATGTACTTTGCATGTTCTTTCATATCCCTACAACAACAAGACCAACAGCCTCTGCTTTTTCTATCCATTCTTGATTCTTTATTTGAGAAAAACAGTGTCATTTCTGCAACTCCCCGTCTTTCTTGACCTCATATCAACAAACACAACAATCAAACGGCCGATATTTTTGTTGTCTTCATCTTTTATGCATGATTATAGGGTCATGAGTGCTTGTCTAAAGATAGTGTTTCTTTTGGAAAGAAAAGGCTACGGGGAATCAAGAGAAGAGAATAATAGGAAGGAGGGAACTGTTTCAAACGGTCATCAACAATATTCAGCTTACTAGCTAGCGAGTGTCGTCAACTGTTACAAAATTCAAATCTGCCCTATTAAAGGTAAGTTTAAAGGAAAAGATTGTCATTAGACCGTTGCTTTTATAACATACCTGCCGTTGTCTTCGAATTTTCAAATTTCTGTTGTTTCAATTCTAAGGGAAAAAAAGAAGAAGAAATCTATCAAAGACTGCCTTTAGTTACAAGTCTTGCAGAAAATTCAGTGCATTATTACATTTTCTGATAACAATAACGACTTGTGCTAAGCCCTTTTGCTTTTTGTAGCAAGAAAGGAGAACAGTTCCTTTTCTTTTCTTTTTTTCTTTGTGATCCTTTTTTCTTCTTCTCTCAAACATAAATTCTGCATTTTAAGCCAAATCCTGGGTGAAAGTATGGGATTTGAGGTGAGCATTCCTATATACCCCACCGGTGAGTTTTGTTTTGTTCATGATCAAAAGAAGTCCTAAGATCTAGAGCCACTAACCAAATTTCTTACACTTTCATGATTATCTTGCAGATTTCTGATCAAGTAGGCCACGAGTCTAATCTTTAAATGGATAATTCGTCGAGTTTTGACGAAGCTTCGGATCCCGGTTATCAACCTTCACCTTCTTCCTTGGATCAAAATGATCACCCAACCGTGGAAACTCCAGGGTACTCAACAATGAGTGGTGATTCATTCATGTTCGGCAGGACTTATTCAGAGACCTCAGCCTTTTCTGATCCCATAGATGATAACAGCTATTCAAGTGAACCTTCTCCTTCTCATTGGCCAGTAACCAAATCTGGAGCACAACATCAGGCTGTGCTTAGAAGACTAGAAATGAAGCAACAGAAGCAAGTTGTGGATGACAAGTTGGATGATCAAGAATCTGTTGACTTGGGTGGGGTTACATAAGATAATTTGTGCCTTTTTGCTGAAAAAATTGTTCATGTGATGAGTCAGATTGTAACACAATTTTTGCATAATTTTGGCAGAACTTGAGATGATGAAAGAAAGATTTTCAAAGCTTTTGCTTGGTGAAGACATGTCAGGAAGTGGCAAAGGTGTCTGCACAGCTGTTACTATATCAAACGCCATAACAAATCTCTACGGTATGCATAATACATACACATCAACCTGGTTTATTAAAAAAAAAGAAGTTCTTTCTTCCTGTTATCCAGTTCTGTGTCATTGCTTATCTTTGATACTTTCTTCAGCAACTGTGTTTGGGCAAAATTTGAGATTAGAGCCATTGAAACCTGAGAAGAAATCGATGTGGAAGAGAGAAATGGATTGCCTTCTTTCTGTATGTGATTACATAGTAGAATTTATTCCCAAGTCTCAGAATTTACAAGACGGAACAGCTCTTGAGGTGAAGTTTTGTTAGCTATCAACCAAATTTCAAACAGGCTTTTGAAATTCTCCTATTTCTAACATGATTGATTGGTCTTTCAGGTGATGGAAAGTAGACCAAGATTAGATATTCATATCAACCTTCCGGCATTAAGAAAGCTTGACGCAATGCTCATGGTAAGGAAAGCATTCATTTGCAAGAAATTAGAACATCTCTGTTTTCTTTACAGTGTCATATATACAAGTTCGTTATAACTTGGGCTTTATTTGACAGGAAGTACTGGATAGTTTCCAAGATACAGAGTTTTGGTATGCAGAACAAGGAAGCATGTCATCAAAATCAACTCGTTCAGGCTCGTTTCGGAGAGTTATTGTCCAGCGTAAAGAAGAGAAATGGTGGGTGCCAGTCCCATGTGTTCCCTCTGGTGGCCTCTCTGAGAAGTCGAGGAAGCACTTGCGACACAAACGTGACTGTGCATATCAAATTCACAAAGCTTCCATGGCTATTAACAGTAGCATTCTTGCTGAGATGGAAATTCCAGAGACATACATAGCATCTCTTCCCAAGGTTAGCCTCCTTGCTGTTCAAATTACTTTACAAAAACGTAATGATTCTAAATTTCTAAAGCCTGGGAGTAAGGATAACTAGGTTCCATTTTCTAAAAGCACCATGAAATTTTATAGAATAGCAAAGACATGTCCTATCGAGTTTCTTGATATTGACAGCACGTTATATCAACATGTTTTTTCTTTCAGAGCGGAAGAGC